GATCTGATGAGTTGACCCAGTTTTAACTCAAGTTGGTGAGCTGTCACCTTGGTGTACTTCCTTTTTGGCCACCCCAAGAAAGCTACTTGTCAATTTCAGGTTAGGAAACTGATTTAAGGTACTTAAAGGTTTAGCTGATGAAATGATATCCACTAACTGAATTGTAAGCTTCTGATAACTTCTACCTCTGATGGGACTTAGGGAAAAACTCTTTGTGCTTGAAAGTAGAAAGTGTATTTGTGCTTTTAGAAAAAGACACTAAAAAGGCTTTATTTCAATGCAGTATATATGAACAAAGGAGCAGCATTCAGAAAGGGGGAGAGGCTGAAATAAGGCAGTCCACTGGTCAGCAGCTGAGGAGCAGAAAGTGACAAGTGGAGTGGAGGCTCACAAGTATATGATTGTTCCTGTTGGCCAGGGACAAGTCTCAGTGGTATCAGTTTAAGACTCCTCCCAAGGCTGCTACTCCTGCAGTTATCATGCTTCCCCTTACAAGGCAAACTGAGGTTTCTGGTCCTGGTCCTGAAGCCCTTGGCATAGCACAGGGGTGGCCAGAGTTACTTACCCTGGGAGCCACATCTGATCCTCCGTGGAAATTAAACAGTGTGGGGGGTGGTGCTGAGCAACACAGAGTGGAACTGAAAAGCAGGGGAGGGTGCTGAGCACCCTGGAGCTACTCAGGCTCCCCCAGCAGCATGGCACTTGAGATGGCAGTCCCAGGAGATGTGGGCGGAGCTTCAGACAGTTTTCGGCAAGCTGTACATATCATGCATGCGGCTTCTGAGCCACATTTTGACCACTTCTGGCATAGCATGTAGGGAAGGTAGGGCAGATTTGTACCTTACAGCCTAACTAAATTAGAGAGATAAATAGCAGAAGCTTTTGTAAGCTGGATCTTATTTCATCAGATGTTGTGAAAGGGGTATCATATAAGGGTCTAGGTCTTCAGTAGTGACACAACTGAAGGCTATCTATTAAATTATGTGCTTCCCAGGAAAATTGATATCAGGAGAGGTATGTGCTGCATGACAATACTCGACTTCCACCGCTCCACTTCATTATTCAGTTTCTGGAATCGTTAGTTATGTGTAGAAGGGGAAGTTATCAATACTACATTGTTGAGTTGGGGAAAAAAATAACAAAGCTGCTAACAGCTTTCTTGGGGGGAGAGAATTGAACGACAAGTGCTTTGTCATTCCTCTCTACATGAACAAGCCCTAGATAGATGTTACAGTAAATTAATTGTTGAAATGATGAAAGACTGAGTTAGTAAATACAATGGAGCATATGTATAGAGAAGCTTGTCATAAGACATTTTCAATTAAACTGATTTATTTCTGCTTAAGCAGAATTCCTTTCTAGGGGGAGTGTCAGTGTCTGACCACAGGCCCTTCAGAACAGGCTTTAAAAGTGCAGCACCTAGTAAAAGACTTTGGGAGGTGGGGATATTTACACTCACTGTACAGTAACTGTTATTACGTTTCAGTATTGCAGTGACACTAGCAAGGGTTTTTGAGCTGCAGTTTGCTGGAATTCATAGTTGTCTTAAGTTAAATTTTAGTCTCTGAAAAGCTAGGGACCAATTAAACATGTTTACAAATAATCCCCTACTTGCAAATAAGTGGTGTTAACTGGTTTGAGCAGACCTAATGTAGAGCATCACTCAGTATTTAATTCTTGGATAGTCAAGACTCCTCTTGAATAGCACAAAGAAAAATAAATGAAAAAATAGTACCACGTAACTAACCAGCCTATATGGAAAGTCTAGGAAGGTGTAGGAAAGCCTAATGCAGATCAAAGATGTATGCCTACAGAAAACATGGCTAGTGCTGCGTGTTTCAGCAGAAAGCTGAGATGGTCTTATTTACGTAGCCTCATGCTAGGATTTTGCATAGCAGGGATACTAAAGAATTAATTATTTTTTTTTGTGTCATATTTGCAGATCTTGTTAGCATAGTATTGTTGCTATGCAATGCCTCAGCAAAATGAACTCTTGCAATTCCCACAGAGGAAGTAATTTTCCATAGATATAATTTGCTTTCATTGACTTGTTAAAAGTCATGGAATATCAGGCAGAAGAAGACTGTTAGAAGTTCTGTTCCAAGTGCTTATAATAAATAGTTTTGATCTCTTATCCATGGTCTAAAGCAGCAGTGGCCAACCTGTGGGCACAAGTGGCATGAGCCACCTGTGTGTAGCACACAACAGATCAGGGAGGGAGCATCATCAAATCAGTAGATAGGGCAAAAAGCAGAGCAGCAGATCAGGCCAGGCAAAGGGGATAGGAGTGGCACTCAGGGAGGGTGCAGGGTCTAATTTGTGGCATGTCTACCTAAAAGGTTGGCTTCAACCAGTTGAAAGCAAAAGTTATAAAGAAATCTTTCAAGCTTTTCAACTGTGTTGCATGTGCCTTTTAAAAAAGCAGGCTAAATTCATGACCCACAACTGCTTTGTCAGTGTCCTTCGGTCTGAAACTGAATCTTTTGCACAGCTTCATTGGAGCAAGAAAACATCAGCCTGTAAACTGTGTTATACTGTATTCAAAATGTTTTGAGACTACCCATGTCACTCCTCCCCATTTTGAAAATGTGAAACTTAAACCCACTCTAGATCCCGTCAATCTATTTGTAGATGTTTGTCTTTAGAAAACGTGTGCTCGTCTGGTCATGCGTTTCCACCCCTCTGTTATTGGCAGTTTTCCAGACCTCCATTATTAATGTGGGCTTGCTCAGCACTCTCAACTTTTCCTGAAGAAGCCCCTCCATTGCTTCAAACAAAAAACCCCAAACAAACAAGACAAAACAAAAACACCCTGTAGCTCTTCTAGTAAAAACAAAGGAAGTTCCAGCTCCAGCCATGAGCGTTCCTGATTTAGTCTGAGTGCTAACAGATAAAATCTATTGCTACCAAGGGAAGTCAACTGAGTTGTGAAACAGTGGTGGGAGAATCACCTGGAATCTGCTAATGTAACTTGGTGCTTTCTTTCTCTTTTTCTCTTGCAGTAGTTTACCTTTGAGTAACAGTCCCCAGCCTCAGCCCTGCAGGAGCAGTGTTCCAGGGCCTCGGTGGTGCTCCTGATGCCCCTCACCCACTGTCGAAGATCCCCGGTGGGCGAGGGGGTGGCAGGGATCGTTCTCTCTCAGCTCTGATATACACAGTGAGTCGGATTTAATGATTATTTTGGCAAAGTGCCTGTCTTTCTTTTCCTAACTGGACTAAGGATTTCTCCACTGTATGTAAACAAATTATCCTGTTCTGAGTTGACTACATTGAGGAGAACAAATAAAATTAAAATAACTAGGTTAATGTAACACTGGCCACTTGGGCAGGAGCACTCGTCTGAAGAGTTAAAGAGAAAGTACTTCCTGTGAATTGAGAAACAAAGGTGTTTTCCTTGCATCAAGTGATTTACTGATTCTATTCGCAGAGCTCTTTCAGAGCAGTGTATCAGTTTTCAAAATGTTTTGCAAATAATGGGAAACATGGAGGAGAAAGAAATGAAATGCTGAATTAGAGTGGGTGACAGGATCCCTTCCAGTGTTGTAGGCAGGGAGTTAAAGGTGTTGGGACCTAAAGATTAGGGATGGTATTGGTATGAATGTTGCCAGGAGTCCCTGTTGGTGTTGAAACCGTCTATCCAACCCTCAATATGGGTATTGTTCTTAGCTGGTGTGAGGATTTATGAACACACCCTTCTTTTGAAGCAAATTTGTCTGTATCTATTCCTTTAATCTAGCTTTCTCCACCCAGTCATCATAAGCCTTTTTTTCCTTCAACTCCCAGCTGAGGAGATCTGACTGTTCCTTCCTGCAAAGCCTATCAATAGCACACTCATGAATGGTTTTTTACATTTACTTTTGAATGAGTCCTAGGTTCATATCCCCAAGGAATAGAAGGCTGTCTTGTGGTGGCTATCGGTGCAGAGCAAGGAATGGAAACTAGGTCCTATGCTGTGCTTGTAAATTTTTATTAATAGATAAATATCTTGTTTGTCATTTTTTTGCCAAACCTGATGCACACTTCTTTCTGATGGGGGAAGATGCAAACCCTGTGGCCTCACTTACACAAGTACCCTGCTGGAATCTCCATGGAGAAGACCAAATGTTTTACAGTGTTTTTTGTTGGGTTTTTTTTACCTGCCTTAGTTTGGGACTTCACTCTTCCAAGGACTTAGTGATCCTGTGTGTAATGTGAAGCCCTCTGAAACTTGCAAAGAAGGTAGGATAATGCATTACTGAATCAATTGCAGCTGACACTGAGTGAATGAAGTAGGCCAGGCCTGTAGAAGGAGCTGCCTGAAAATAGGTGTGGAGTTGGTAG